CATCCACTTCCAATATAATATCTATATCTATGGGTGCTTTTAAAGAATGAGGTTAAAACTCGCATTTCACTGTAGACATGAATATAAATAAAACCCTATACACCAAAATGCTTTACACATTGATCTGGGAAAGATACTTTCCCTTGTATAATGAAGAAACACACTGTTCTTTCATATTCACGAAAGAACCTCCTTCCTCTTCCAACTGGTCTCAGTCTTTTCTGACTACCCATTTCCATAAAGAATGAACTCCCTCTAAAATATCTACAGATATCTACAAAATATTTCATCCAAATATTCGTAGGACAATAAAGCATAGAAACTGACACCCCTATCACTCTCTTGCCCAATCTTCTTGCTTTTCATTTATTCATAGCATTTTAAGTGCTGTTAACTGATATATTGAACATTTATTTATTTTGTTTTTTATTTACACCCTTCTAAAATGTAAGTTTCCTATCACATTTTGTCTATTTTATTTCCTGCAATAAGATCAGTGCCTATAATAGTGCCTGGAATCCAGCAGGTGGCTCAAGAAACATTTGATTCATTGACATTTTTGAGTGAGAGAAAAAGAGATCATGCTATTGCTGCTGTCTCTCGCTCTCCCAAGTCATGGAGGAAAGGGGGGAGAGAGAGAGAGAGAGAGAGAGAGAGAATATGAATGAGAATGAATTTCAAAGATTGTCAATAAACATAGTTAGAATTTTTGGCAGAAGACCTATACTTTTAGCCCTCCAGCCCATTATCTTGTTTGCTTCTTTCCAACACAATAGAAAGAGCCTCCATGAATTTTCAACATTTAATGTTTCCTGAAAGTGTCATAGGTACAAATACACATGGATTCTGTGTAATATTAAAAGATAAAATAGTGGACCACTTGCTTAAAGTAAGCCTCTTGGCCCAGACCTCCCTACAGTGTTCCTCTTAACATTATCCATGGCTGGGGTTGTGGTTCAGCGGTGGAAAGCTCGCCTCACACGTGCGAGACCCTGGGTTCGATCCTCAGCACCACATAAAAATAAATAAGTGAAATAAAGGTATTGTGTCCAACTACAATTAAAAAAATAAATATTAAAAAAACATTATCCATTTGCCAGGTTGGCCCCTTTGGCTCCACTTTAACTCCAAAGTAGTCATCCCACCAGGGTCTGCATGACATCTACCTGCCTCCCACTAACTTGAAAAGTGCACTGAAAGGAAGAGGAACTACTTTAAAAATATAAGCTGATAATTCAGAGGTCTTGCTGACCCCTCACTTCTCCAGCACTAATTACGTACAGGGGGCAGAGATTTGAGAATAAATAATAACAAGTGGAGCTGCTGGCTAGCCTGGCCTCATCTTGCTATACTGATTTGTCTTGAATAACTCATGATGGGATAGAGGGAGAAAAGAACCTATTGATGGATTTTGTTTAGTTTGTATTTGTTTGTTTGTTTCTCTGGTCACTTTCTCATGGGAAAATCTGGCAAAGGGAATGAAAAACAATGTGGTGTTTTGGTCTGAATTTTGGCTAAGGAGGCATTTCCATAAGAAACGAAAAAGTAAGGTTTATTTTTCCTTTATCTTCTGATCCACACTAGAAATGGTTTCACTTCTCACTCTGGATATTAGATAAAGAAATAGGTAAGTCCTGATAGAGGGGTAGCACTCAGTCTCCCTTATGAACCCACCATTTTTCTCTCTGCCAAAGACCAGGCCACAGCCATTTGTAATATGATCCTTAAACAGACACTTATCATTCAGTTCTAGATTTAACATTGAATGCACCTAGGCAATGAATTTATTATTATAATAAGCTATGTTAAAATAGAATCTCAAGATTACCAGGGCTTTAAAGGCAATTGGCTACCAAAATACTTCCTATGCCCTCCTTACCTAGTAATTGTTCTACTTCTATAAACAGGATGATCATTATCTCATAAGACATGTTCCATTGTTCAACAGTTTTACTGTTTAAAAGGAAAAAGAAATTCTTCCTTCTGTTCAGCCAGAATGACTCCCTTTCATATTTACATTTTACCTTATAGTGCCACATAAGATAAGTGTAGTTTTACTTTTTCAGGATAGAAACATATTAGAGAGAAAGGTGTCCAAAGTTATGTTCTATCATGATCATCATAATACCCATTCCGCAGATATGGAAATTGGGAATGAAAGTGGTTCATTGGAACACACTAACTTGGAAGTAAAGCCAATATATTTCTGGGGATGCATCTACTTGTCTTGTAACATCCCAAACAGTCCCACCAGCATATTCTGTAGGGATATGGGAAAAGAGAGCACAGCTAATGATTAAACCCTTGGTCTCTTAACTGCCTTCAAAAGGGACTATTTTGGTTCAGAAAACCTCTGAATTGACTTTATCTAATAAAGTTATATGTCTAATGCATTGGTTGATTGTCAGTGTAATGAAAAAAAAAGAAAAGGAAAAAGCAGGCAACATGATCTTGAGAAAATAAAACCCATAGTTTTTGAGCAGATACTCTAGGAAGCATAAGTGTTACCAGGTTTTTGTTTTCCTCATTACTCACTCTTCACTATCCATTTGATTAAATCCTGAGAGTGGGTTTAACACACAGGATCATACATGAAATAAAAGTAATGTGTGTAATTGGGAATTTTATTCCTTGGTCTGACTTTGGCCTTCATTTTCTGGTTTGGAATAGCCCTCAGTCTGTTTCTAGTTACCTCACTTTATATTGAAAATAGGGTATCTTGGAAATGATGGTGCCCAAAATATGTTGCCAAAGTAGTAATGATTAACAATTTTAGCAGACATCTGAGATGGAAGAGAAGGAAAAAGATGAAACATCTCTTCACTTCATGTCATTATTATGATAGCCCTGTGAAGAAAGTACCCTGGTATTCTTTTTAATGATTATAAAATTGATGATCATAAGGGAAAAGTGATTTGCCTAAGGTCACTTAGCCAGTGGGGACTGAAGACAGAGTAGGTATAAAAATTGGTTCTAAGCCTATCATTGCCTTCTCTAACTGCCCACCTGATTGCTAGAGTGTTAAGTGATAAACCTTAATTGAGAGGCTAGCAGAGAAAACAAAAATCTCCATAGTGCTTACCTCAGTATCCAGATTGGAAACACTTAACTATGACAATTATGTTGGTAATGGGAATAGTGGTAGTTAGTGATTTTAAATTTTTCAAATTTATATATTATTTTGATATTGGAAATCCAGTTTTATAGGAAACATTCATAGGTAAGAAAGGATAGACAAATGACAAAGATGGTCTATGATCAATACAAAAGAAATAAATGCTGTACTAGTTTCGGGGAAGCATTCCTCCTTCCCTCCTCCAATCCAAACCCTTTGCAAATCAATGGTATTGATAAAGGAGGGATGAAGAGGTATAATCATAGAGACAAATGAAGATCCAGAAAACTTCTTCTCTTATTTTGGTCTCTAGTGAACCAAGAATTTTAAAAAATGAGGGAAAGGACCGTCCTATCCAAGAATGGCTCTTATTCCTCATGGACCCCACCATTTGCTCCCCCATAATCAGAAGTTCATAGGTGAAATGTAAGATAGGCTAAATATAAGCTAGGCTAAAGCACTGACTTGCCACTCTGGTAAGCTAAAATCATTGGTTTTCAAGTCAGATAGCAAGAGCTATGACAATAATCTACTGATATTATTTTGTCATACTTTTGAAGGAAACTATCAGAGGTGGCTCTTAGATGGGCCATGGGAAACAACATGTTACTCTTCTTTAAGACATTTTTAATGTAGAAAACCAGGCAGTTGATTTTTGGCTCTCTGCACCGCAAATAATATTTTCTTAATAAGAAGATGCCAATTTTGAGGATCTCTGATAACAAAAAATGACAGATAATTAATTCATCTGAGCACTAAAATTGCTATCAGCATTAAGTGCCAAGCAAGAACTCTAGGTAACAAATAGGCATTTCCAAAATCTCTGTCTCTGCATAGCTGTGGTAGTTACTATCTGACTCTTGCATTAAATATCTTTTCTAATAGCACCAAGAAAGGAACCTAGAGCTGTTGCATAGATCCAAATCCCCAAAACTCACCATTGACAATCAGTTGTACAGTTATGTTTTTGTAGAGGCCATGCTTGGTATTGCTCAGGGCAAAAGTGTAGTTTCCAGCATACTTTACATTAACTTCCAGGATTTTAAGTCTGTAGTTTAGAGTGTCCAGCTGGAAGGTATGGTTTACTGGGAGTGGTTTTCCATCTTTGAACCTATAAGGCATGAGAAAGGAATGATAAATACAGTGTTGGTCTTTAGGACATACAACCCTCTCCCCATAGGCTTATGCTTTATCATGGTCAACAAAGAGAAGCAGAGCAATGGAACCCATTTCATCAAATTTCCTGGCTGTTGCTGGGCATTGTGACACATGCCTGTAATCCCAGTGGTTTGGGAAGCTGAGGCAGAAGGATTGTGAGTTCAAAGCCAGCTTCGGAAACTCAGAAAGGCCCTAAGCAAATTAGTGAGATCCTGCATAAAAAACAAACAAACAAACAAACAACAACAACAAATATATATATATATATATATATATATATATGTGTGTGTGTGTGTGTGTGTGTGTGTGTGTGTGTGTGTGTATACATGGCTGAGGTTGTATCTCAGTTGTTAATCACCCCTTGGTTCAATTGGCTGTACAAAAAAAAATAAAAAATTCCGGTTGGAGCATCTTAGTACAGTCACACTGGAAGTAAAAGATTAAAACTATCTCTTTCCTTTCTCCTAATGGTTAAATCTTTGGAAAGTATTCCCACACATGCATCCTATATTTCCATTTCCTCACTTCTCATCAATTCCTTTATGTTGTAAAATCAAATTTTCCTCCACATCATCATTTTGAAATCATCTTTTCCAAGATTCCCATCAATGCCCTAAATATCAAAGCCAGTGGCCTTTTTGCATTAATGACCTTCAGATTTCCTGGGATATCTGACCTCAGGGGCCAAGTTTTTCTCTCTTAGCCTATTTTTTTTTCTTTTTATTTTTTTTAAATGGAATGCTTCATGAATTTGCATGCCATCCCTGTGCAGGGGCCATGCTAATATCTGTATCATTCCAATTTTAGTATATATGCTACTGAAGTGAGAACTCTCTTAGCCTCTTGAAACTGTTCTAATCATTATTTCTCTCTTCTTCACTGACTTGTCTTTTGTTTACTTTCCCTTTTAATATATGTGTTTCCTGTAAACACTTAAAATACTTAAGCAAACAGATGAGAGAGAGAGAGAGAGAACTGAGATATTTAGATCAGAACCTACAGGTTCTGCTAATAATCTGGATTTAAGGTACTGTGAAAATATTTTTCAGTAATTAATAGTAGGAGCATAATAAATGCTTATAATTGCCCTCAAGTATATATGTGTTTATGTATGGATAGGTACATAGATAAAGAATACTCTGTATTGTGTCTTGGGCTCTTATCTCTGGGTATTCTGCCTATATGTATTCATTTAACACCTGCTGATGACTCTCAATTTACCTCTCCAGAACCTAGCTCTAGACCCATATTTCAAAATGTTCCTGGAGGAAATTCTCTAAATGAATTTATCATGGTGTTCCTCTCCTACACCCTCACACTAACTTTTCATCCAAATGAAGCACAGGTTGTTAATAACACAACCACTCTTACATTTAACCAAATGTGAAACCTATGAATTACCTCAGATCCCTGGGCTTAGCTTCCCATATCTAACTGGATATTAAACCCTGAGTATTCTGCCTCTTCAATTTTCCCCAATTTCATTCATTCTTATATTCCCATTTCCTCCTGCTTATTCATGTCCGCAGCATGTCTCACATAACTCTTGTCATAAGCACCTATAGCAGTAGCTATTTCTTCTTAGCCTTTCTCCATTACCATCATAAATTCATAAAGCCATATTAATTTTTCTAATGCTTAGCTTCAAATCTATCCCTCCTTACTTCATAACTTTGAGGGTTCTCCACTTCCTACTAAAGTAAGCAATAAAAAAGTACAATATTTATTTTTCTTGTTAAACGTCAGAACTGTTGTGTAATATAAGTATAATCACTCAGATTTTATATATGAAGAAACTGAAGCTTGGAGAGTTTATTAATATGCCTGGTAACTTGAAAAAGAATTAATTACATGTCTGCCTCATGGAAATTCCCATATTGTTTCCACCTCACCATTTCTTACCCTGATGTTCAAGGACCTGTACTAGGATGGGTAAGACCATCTTTAAGAGTTCTTCAAAACCTTAAGATTCTGTAATCCCATAATGACCTTGGAAATTTTTCCAGACTTGTTCCCTCCTTTACTTTCAAAGAGCAAAACTCATTTTCTCAAACATAGGGGATATAAAGAGTAGTAAAAGAAAATAATCAAAGAAACCCACCTCTTCTTGGGAACAAGGAGATAAGCCCCAGTTTCTGAAATTGGGAGTGCCCCAAAGGGTAGGGTTAGGATTAATTTATTTTCCAGAGTTAATGTATTCCTGAGTTCCCAATGCCAAATTAAAGGTCTAGTGGAAGGAGTAATTGTTAAGGGTGAGGTTTAGCAGACACAGGAATAGAGAACCTTAGAAAAGAAGGCCCACTTACCAGGTCACATTGGGGCGAGGGAAAGCATCCACTCTTACTCCTATTTTGAGCATCCTTTGCCCAGCTGTCACCTCATAAATGCACCTTCTTTTGCATCTCACATTGAGGAATGATTTTTCTGGAATCAGAAGAGGTATGGTATCAGAGGGATAAAATAAAATTAAATCTTAATTTTGTTTACTCTTCCTATGAGCAGCCATGTTTTTCCAAACCTCAGGGAATAAAATTTGAACTGACAAATGTTGTTTATTAATAAGGATTGGCATTTTAGGTGGGACAATTCTTTGTTGTGAAATACTATGTCTCACTCTATCCCATCAATGCCAGTAGTGATCACCAGTCATTTTGACAAACAAAACATGACCCCTTACATTTCCAATGCCTCCAAGTATAGTACTGCTCCCAAGTTGAGAATCATATAATCATGTTGGCCTTTTCCCTTGTGAGATGATTATTTAGACATGTGCAATGAATGATTTCTGACCAATGAGGCAAGAGGGCAAATTAGCTAGGGAATCTCTAGGAAAAGTTGTACAGATTCTTAAAAAGGAATGGAAGTCATCAATTTCCTTCTTTTCCCAGCAACATGCAGGGTACATTGAAGATAATGAAAGTGGCAGAGTAAAATAATGGAAGGAATGTCCTACTGAAGGACATTCATAATAACTGAATGTCCTTCAGTAGGACATTCATGATCCACTGAATCAAACATGGAACTGTAAATCTGAAGACTCTATTATATAAGATAACTGTCTCTTGATTGTTAAACTACTTTTAATCAGGTAGTTTGCAGCTGAAGACATCCCAGTTTACTAAAGTGGACATATGTTATCCAAAGCCTGATAAACATAAAGAAAATTATCTTATAAACTCAGCTGTAGGAGTTTAACTGAGCTATAGCGGTTAAATTTTTACTATAGAATAAACTCAGAATGTGACTGTATTTGAATTTGTAAGCATTTGTGTGTAGAGAAATATTAGTATTTGTAGGTGAGAATTTTTGTTTGTTGTGGTGCTGGGCATTGAACCCATGGCTTATGAATGAAAAAACACACCATACCATTGGGCTGCATGCCCCCCAGGCTCCAATAAGTGAGGATTTTGTCCATACCTTCAAATAAGTGTTGGAATCTGTGTGTATGCATTCCAAATAATATTTTTCTGTATAAATGTACTGGGATGAATATGGCTATTATTTTGTTTTGTGAGAGCATGTATTATGTACATATGTATTTATTAATCACCACTCCATAAACACAAGGTAATTGGGTTAAATAGAGGTTCACTTAATAATTCTTTCTGCTATTCAATTTTTAGCCACATAGATATCAGTAAAAAGAAACATCAAAGGGCACCCTCAAACATCATTTTAGAGATAGAAAAATTAAACCTAGAGAGGCATAGTAGTTGTTTTCAAGATCACACATCAAAATAGAAAAGAATATTCAAGACTCTTTACTCTCTATTTGGGACTAACTACTAGCTAGCCAAAAGATAGAAAAACATGTAAGTTAAATCACAATATTTTGCAGTATATGTTCCCTGTGACAGGGTAAAGGGACAGATTTCATATAAGCCCTGAAACAGTGGGCTGTAAGCTGGAGAAACCATAACAATGGAAGAGAAAATGCAGGTATTTCTGAGTGATTCACCATGTATAGGGGAGAAGAGTAGAATCAAGAGAAAAGTCAAGAATGCAAGGTTTACTTACTGTATACTGTGATGGTAATGTTGGCTTGCAGGGCAGTGTTGTTATTTTCCTGGCAAATATATAAACCCTTGTCTTCCATGGTTATATTCCAGATGGTCAAATTACTATAGCTTTTGTACACAGGGGACCCTTGGTACAAATTCCTTTTAACTTCACAACACCTGGGTGTTGTCTTAGACTGTGGGATGGGAAAGGATGAAAATTTCAATCAAGAGTATTGAGTATTTCTAGATGTCTAAAGTATTACAGGGTTTGGGAGGGAAGCCAGAGAAATTAATATAAGGAACTTATATATAATAGACCACAATATGGTACAGAATAAAATATCAGTCCCTATAAAACATGTTTCTTGAAATTCACATACTACTTATTATTCAGCTTTGTTGATCTGCTAGCACTTAGCCTGGTTCTTGTCCAAGACTAGACTAATTCAGGGAGAGACAGTATGGATAAATACTCTAACATTCTGAAGGAAAGATAGTATACTCACATCTTGCCGGTTGAATACCCAATCCAGTTTGATTCGTCCATTGAATGTGGTCTCTGCCACACACTGCAGGAAAAGGGTGTCTCCCATCAAAAGCCTCTTCTGGTTATATCTGATAGAGATATTTCCTCTCTTGATTTCTAGAAAATAGAGGATATGCCATATGGTGTTGACAAAACCAGGGGGAAAAGTCTTGATTATAGAGTAGTTCTTGAAAATTTTCAATCCTGCAACCCTTTCTTAGGTGAAAACTGTAGATGCAAAATAATACCACAAGGTCCCATGGTTTAGAAAAGACCAAATAAGATTTTATATAAACTATTGCAAGATACTTGGTAGTGGTGAGCAGCTTCTATAATCCTTAGAAAATTTTTATCTCCAATTTACAAGCTTCCCCATCAGAAAGTTTTATTTCTCCTACTGATCTAAAGTCATAATGCCCTTTGGTGGCTCATTCTACATATTTATGTGTTCTCTGAGCAAGGGGTCTTCCTTGTTAATGGCCCATATCCACATTAATCAAGGAAGCAATAACATAAAATTCCAAGGTGCCTGTTATTTAGCCACAACATGCACCATTATTTCATGGTTTTGCAAGGAAAACCCTGTAAAAGGTGAATATTTATTATAGACATTGCCACCAGAGAAATGGTCTGATACTTATGAGTCATATAAGATTGCAGAAGTTAATCTGGGCTTTACCTACTGATATATCTATCTATCTATCTATCTATCTATCTATCTATCTATCTATCTGGGCTTTACCTACGTACATAGTTATATATCTATCTATCTACTGACATCTATATAGATAGATAGATAGATAAGTATATATTTGTATAATATATGTATATGTATATATGTATACATCCAATATATATTATGTAATATACATATTAAAATAAGACCCTAGGATCTTTTTTTAATATCTATTTTTTAGTTGTAGTTGGACACAATACCTTTATTTTATTTATTTTTATGTGGTGCTGAGAATTGATGTCACCTTGCACGTGCTAGGCGAGCACTCCACCTCTGAGCCACAACCCCAGCCCCAAGACCCTAGGATCTTGATTATCATGATTATTAATCTATACGAAAGAGAATTTAGCTGGAGTAAGTTTTATTCAAAAAGGAGGTATTCTCACAAAGCATCATGATTATAATTCCTAATCTAAACACACAAATCACATACCCAATCGCTGTGGGAGATACAGTGACCTGTGGATCTTTCCATTGACTTCAGCAATGCATTGGAGCATGCTACTGTAGAACTGATAAGAGGGCCGCATCACAGTGAAGCCTTTCCTGGGGTCCCAGTTTTGGCTTG